ATGGTGAATACAAGAAAACAAAATTGACAGGATGACTGTCTGCTGACTTTTTGACAAGAGACAAGTGAGAGCCTTAGTGACCCTACAAGAATTCTCACAGCATGAACACAGGGTGAGAAGGGTGAGGTTGGAGCCTGCGTGAACCCACGATCATCTTAGTGAAGCTCAGTAAAGGACTGCACAATAGTCCCCATGAGAAATGTTTGTTTTCTGCCCATCCTTTTCCCAGAGGGTGATAGAGAGTGTATTGGAAATGATTTCAGCCTCATTAAAAAGAAGACTTCAGATCAGTTGAAGTCAGTGACTTTCTCTCTTTCACTGTGGACCCATGAAGAGTTCCCATGAACAAAAGAAAACAGTACTTCAAATCCACCAGGTGAGTCTGATTATTGGAACTTCCTAAGACCATAGGAAAGGTACTCAAAAGAGGGACCACCATGGTCCATGTGGAACAAGCACATGCAAAATGTGCAGATTTGCTTCATCGACTTGATTTCAATGATTATATAGATCTGTAATACCATAAAATCATAATTTGAAGAAAATTCACATTAAGATGTAATTTTGAAGCAGTAAGTGTAGCTTTATAACACATGCTTGTTATAATCTAAGACTGTAAATTTAATGATTAATAATTATTAAGTAAGATAAACCACTCTGATTATTATTATTATTATCCAAGATAATGCTTGTCTCTTCAAAGTCAGATCAATTTGAATTCACATATAATTTGAATTGATTCACACAGGTACCGTCACAAGAGTTCCAAATGAGAGACCATGTTATCTGGGTGCTGTATAGGGGAAAAGAATTACACTGGATTTAGAAAACATTACTGAAATTATATTAACACAGGCAGAGAAAAACTAATAGAACCTGTTCTTACTTACATGTGCAATGGACCTTATAAAAAAGCAGAGGCAGAATGGTGGTTAATATGGTTGAAGAACAAAGGAAATGTGGAGATGCTGTTCAGTGTATAACGCTTCAGTTAAACAAAAGAATATGTGCTGTGATTCTTTTTATCCATATTGCACAGGATGAAGGAACATAATACTATGTCTAACACTGGAAGACATAACATATGCCAACATAGTTATTAAATCATTATTAATTAATCTTCCCACCACAAAATGATGTGTATGTGATTGCAGATATGGTAATAAACTAGATTGAATGACATCACATTGAATTTATAAATCATACTGTTTTGTTACTCATAACTATATCCATATACCAATGATTGATTTAGGGTTTTTTAATAAATAAAAGTGAGTCTCCCAAAGCCTGGTACAGTTTATTGAAAGGAAATCTTCACATGCGGAGGAGAATGTAGCTAGAATTCAACTTTTCCTCTGAAAACCTCAGTTGCCTTCTTTTTTTATTTATTATTTTTATATTGTGAGAATACCATACAGAGGGGTTACAATTACATGGGCAAGATAACAAGTACATTTCTTATCAAGCATTGTTGCCTCCTCTTTGTTTCCCCTTCCCATCCCTTCCCATACTTCCCCAACTCCTCATGCCTGATCCTCCCCCCGCCAAAAAAATTGTAAAGTTTATTTTTTGATATAAAGACTTGTACATCTCATTGTTGCAATGGGTCCCTTGTATCCCTAGTTAAATGATTTGTTTTTGTCCTTCCTCTCCACAAATTATACCAACATCAAATACAGTGAATGCAGGGGTTGTACCGTGAGGGAGGGACATACATAGCAACAAAGAAATCATCTTAAAATATATTAGAAACAATGGCATGCAAGAACAAAAGCCTTCTATATGCTTAATTTTCACTAATTGTTATTCATTAAATGCGATTTCACTTGGACTTATTCTGTGACTTTCTAAGCTCAATTTGATCTCTACCAAACAACAAAGATTTGGAAGCTTAAATACCAAACATTATTTTGGCACAGTTCCCTAGCCTGAGAGTTGGAGATGAAAATACAGTGGGAAGGATTCTGCTCAGGGCTGCCTTTTTTTTTTTTTTCATGGCTACCTTCCCACAGTGACGGAGAGTGAACAATCTGTGTCTGTGCAAGAGGATGCAAAAATGGATGGATAACCATCTAACTGAAACAAGTTCTTTTAAACTTAATGACTTCCTAAAGTGTCTTATCTCCAATAGGGTCCAATAGATGAAAGACATCATTCAGTTCATGGTGCTGGACTATCCTTATCATTTACTTAGATTATGGTTGTGTGTAGGAGATACATTCTTCAAGCAATTTAAGGATTTATTTTATTTTATTGTAATGATGCTGTACAGAGGGGTTACAGTGATGTGAGTAAGGAAATGAGCACATCTCTTGTGGAGCACTTTTCCCTCACTTATGGGATCTAGAGAGTGCCTATAAATCTACAATTAAACACACTGGGTGGCACCCAAGCAGTGATAAATGATTTGACTGAAGTATAATAGACCTCATGGAAAGCACAAATAGTATCACTTTCTTTAGAAAGACTAAGTCAAATCCAACAAAATAAGTACCAGTAAATGGGTATGAGCAGGAGATGGGCAAGATGGGAGGGGTCGTAGAATGAATTGGGAGAAATCAATAGCATGCAAGAAGGCATTGTATATGCCACAGAATGGAGAAAAGTAATTAAAGGGGTGGGTGCAAGGCAAGTGAAGATGTTGAAGAGATGACACAGATCAAGATGCATGGTATCTATAAATGTCTCTGTTAAATGGGAAAATTTTCAAAATAAAAATAAATACTAAGAAAACTGAGGAAACTGAGGGGTGAGGTAGGTGGGGTAGATGGGTGAAAATGTTGAAAGGGGTGATATTGATCAAGAGTTACTCTATTCATAAACTGCTCTGTTGAATGGCAACTCTTTTTTACAATGCCTAAAAAATACAAATGATTTTTTTAAATGGAAAAAAAAGCACTAAATCTCTTATACAAGGCTTTGAATTTGGTCAACATAATTCTGTTCATAAAACCTGATTTAAAAATAGACCTATCTTGAGAATCATAAAATCAAAATGTTTCAAAGAACATCAGTAATTTTATAAAACATTAATATAATTATTAAAAATTGAGCTTTTTCAATTTTATTTTGGTTGAACCAACCACTCCATAAATCTCTTTAGCGTTCATACATTTCTTTTTTATATGGTTTTTATTGTAAAAATGCTGTTACATGACCAAAGTAATGAGTACATTTTCTATTTAACATTATTGCTTCCTCCTTTGTTTTCCCTGACCATCCCTTCCCTCCCACCTCCTTCTTATGGTTGGTAACATGTGTAACATAAAACCTGTTGCTGAAAGCATTTAAAGGATTTGGTTCTGTGATAGGAAAACTAAATTGGGCCTTTTTTAATACCAAAAAGATAATTTCCAGAACATGACATAATGCCAAAATACAAAGCAATGAGTATATGATTAAGGAAACTCTAAGCCTGCATTCTAACTTACTGCACCTTCTGTAGAAAGAAGAGATTTCCTTCTGAATAACAGGCTAGTACAGGAAGCCAGGAGTTCCTTCAGCTCAACACATTGTGCCTTCTGCTCATTCTGGGTTACAATGCATCCTGAACTAATCACTTCCCACCTCCCCTCTGCTTTCTCTCCATATTTCTTTTATGCCACATGCATATCCTAGCAAATCAATTATTTGTAGAGGAACAGTTATGTTATCAGTTGCCTTTATAGGACCTGTAATTTGACTTATAAAAGTAAATCACTATCATCCACATGTGTCACATACCATGTGGATTCTGCTTCCCAATTTAGAAGAATTGTGAATTCCTCTGTTGTACAACTAAAAAGGCTTGGCGATTTGTATAAAGGTCAGTGGAGGTAGTGAACAAATTAGTATTTTATAAAAGTGCTATTATTAAATTTCCAGTTTGCATAAACAGTTTTTTATAAAAAATGTCCAAATTTGCCTAATTAGAATATTTCCTTCTTCCGTGCACTCTAAATCACAGATCCAGATCAAGGACTAGCACCACTAGAAATACTCTTTGTCAGGGAGTGACTTAGTGAATATTTGTTTTTAAGAAGGAGTGGGCTTGGAGGCATTCCTATGAGTTAAAATAGTGAATAATTTTCCCCAAATTGCATTATTTTGTTTTGGATTATTTTGTTACAATGTTTTGCTTTTATTATTACCATTTACTTTCATTTTTATGGCTTTTTTATACATAATGCCCTATTTTTTATGTGTTTGTATTATATAATAAAACAAGGTATTTTTGTTATCTGTGAAAATATTAACTCATGTTTATATTAGAACCACACAGATTATGATTCAATCACTATTCTCTGTTCATATATGTACTGTTATACAAAGTTTTTACTTAGAAATTTAGGTAATGATTCAAGATAAATTTTATAAAAATGTATTTTCTTATTAATAAACACATTTGATTTTATGGAAAATTTCTTCTTTTTCTTTATTTGTTCATTCTCTTTCTTTTTAAATTTTTTTTATTTTTGTTGTGAAAATACTATATGGAGGGGTTACAATTACATGGGCAAGATAATGAGTACATTTCTTAGCAAGCATTGTAGCCTCCTCCTTTCTTTCCCCTTCCAATCCATTCCCATCCTCCCCCTGCCCCCCACCCAATCCTCCCCACCCCCCCACCAAAGTTGTAAAGTTTGTTTTCAACATAAAGACTTGTACTTGTCATTGTTGCAACAGGTCCACCTGTATCCTTATTTAAATGACTTGATTTTCCCCTTTTCCTCCACAAATTATACCGACATCAAATACAGTGAAAGCAGGGATTATACTGTGGGAGAAGTAGATGATTTCTTTAAAAATATTCCTTTAATTTTTCTAATAAAATATGTAATTTTAAGATATATTGTGTTAAAGAAAGTAAAAGTAATACATGCATTTAACAGAGTGAAAAAGTTTTATAAATATTTGAAAATATGTTCATTGAGGAATGAAAATGTACTGAGTCACATGATGGTTGGATATTTGCCTGATGCATGCACTTCCTTTCTCATTATCACATAGGAGTGGACACCATGAACAACCTCACAGCACAGATGGACACCATGACCAACCTCACAGTGGATACAGACTTCTTCCTCACCCAGTTATCTGACGACAAGCAGCTCCAGGTCTTCCATGGCTTTCTGTTTCTTCTGATCTACTTGGAGGCTCTCATGGGGAATCTCCTCATCTTCATCCTTGTCACAGTGGACCGGTGTCTTCACACCCCCATGTACTTCTTCCTGAAGAACCTGGCATTCCTGGATGCGGGTTTCATTTCAGTCACAGTCCCTAACCTCATTCTGAACTCTTTTACACATAGGAGCAACATTTCGCTCCCAGGATGTATTTTCCAAGTCTTTTTGGTGGTTACCTTTGCTGGGTCTGAACTTGGCATCCTGATAGCCATGTCCTACGACCGCTATGTGGCCATCTGTCACCCATTAAATTATGATGTCATTATGAAGAAGGAGATATGCACGCAGATGGTAGTTACTTCTTGGCTCCTTGGCAGTTTATTTGGACTCTTACACACAGCTGGAACTTTCTCATTATCATTCTGTGGATCCAGGAAACTTCCACAGTTCTTCTGTGATGTCCCTTCTCTACTGAAGATTTCTTGCTCTAAGAAGCATGTCACCACTGATGTTACTGTGGCCATTGGAGCCTTATTTGGACTCTTTGGCTTTGTGTGCATTGGGTATTCATATGGTTACATCTTCCAAACTGTGCTGAGAGTACACTCATTACAAGGACATTCAAAAGCCTTCTCCACCTGTGTGCCCCATCTCATAGTTGTGATTACATTTTTAGTGACAGCTGTTTTTGCCTATTTAAAGCCAGTATCTGATTCTCCTCATCTTGTGGACTTTTTGGCATCTATTTTCTACTCTGTGATGCCTCCATCTTTGAACCCTTTAATATACAGCCTGAGGAACAAGGACATCAAAGCAGCTCTGTGGAAGTTTTTGTGGAAGTTAAATCATTGAATTTTGGAAAACAAAAGAATTTATTGCTAGATAGCATCAATTGTATATCTTTTTTGTTGTTTTCTTGGATGTTGAATTAAAAGACATTTTGATTGTGTTTAAGATTCAAAATTAATTGAGTTTTTGGCTTAGCCAGTGTAGAGGCATGGCAGAAGGAGACTGCTTCTTATAGTAGTGGCTTGTAGGAGAAATCCACTGTCAAAAACATGTTAGAGAACAGACTGATGGACAGTCTATCAGTGTTTATCAACTTATTCTACAATCATCATTTCATTCTAATTTACATTGGTGAAGTTTTCTGCAAATCAGATATTTAAGTGTGTGTCATTTATATAATACTTTTCTCAATAATATTGCTAACATAACTATTATTAGGGGCACCCAACTTTTTCATGTCTGATTAATTAGATATTAAATTTTAATATGCAGGGTAAATGACATAGCTAGCAAGATCAATAGAAAGCCCACAGATTGGGAGAAGATCTTTACTAGCCATACAACGGACAAGGGTCTCATATCTAAAATATACTTGGAACTCAAAAAATTAAACCCCCCAACAACAAATCCCCAAAGAAACAACTGCCCAATAAATAAGTGGGCGAAAGACTTAAAGAGAAACTTCTCTGAAGAAGAATGAAGGATGGCCAATAGACACAGAAGAAATGTTCAACATCCCTAGCCATAAAAGAAATGCAAATCAAAACAACATTGAGATATCACCTCATCCCAGAAAGAACGGCAAAAATCAAGAACTCTAATAACAACAGATGCTGGAGGGGATGTGGACAGAAAGGAACCTTACTTCATTGTTGGTGGGAATGTAAACTTGTCCCACCACTTTGGAAAGCAGTATGGAGGTTCCTCAAAAGACTTCACATAGAACTCCCCTATGACCCAGCAATCCCACTTTTGGGCATTTACCCAAATGTTTACAAACAAGACCACACTAAAGCTACCACCACAACTATGTTTATTGCAGCATTATTTACCATAGCTAAGATATGGAACCAACCCAGATGCCCCTCAGTAGATGAATGGATCAAGAAAATGTGGTATATATACACAATGGAATTCTATGCCTCCATCAGAAAGAATGACATTGCCCCATTTCTTAGGAAATGGAAAAAATGGAAAAAATTATATTAAGTGAAGTAAGCCAGGCCCAAAGAAACATAGGTCCCAGGGTCTCCCTTATTTGCAATATCTAGTATATGTATGAGTCAAGTGGAAAAGGTCAGATAATGTGATGTCAGGAAAATGAACCGTTAGATATGTATTTTAATGTTTTTTCTTTCATGCATGTGTTTCTAACCCATTTATAAGATTATCTCTTTGTTGCTTTGTATGTCCCTCCCCCACAGTATAATCCCTGCTTTCACTATATTTGATGTCAGTATAACTTGTGGAGGAGATGGGGAAAAACCAGTTGTTTAAGGATACAGGTGGATCTGATGCAACAATGAGAAGTACAAGTTGTCATGTCCAAAAGGAGCTTTACAAAGTCGGTGCGGGGGGGGGGAGAAAGCGGGTGAGGGGGAGGGGGGAAGGAGAAGGATTGGGATGGGGGGTAGGGGGGAGGCTGGGAAGGGATGGGAAGGGTAAACAAAGGAGGAGGCTGCAATGCTTGGTAAGAAATGTACGCATTATCCTGCCCATGCAATTGTAACCCCTCTGTACAGTATGTTCACAAATAAAATAAAATAAAATTTAAAAAAATGAAACTAGTGGGGGGATGGAGGAGTTGGGGTGAGGGGAAGGAGGTGTTGGGGTGATTTGGAGGGAAAAGGAGGGAGTAACAATGCTTGATAGGAAAAGTACTCATTACCTACTCATGTAACTGTAACCCCTCTATGTGGTATTTTTACAATAAAAATCATATAAAAATGAGACTAGCAATTTCTCCAATCATAACTCAGGCAAAACTATTCTCCTAACACTACATTTGTACTTATGGTGGGGACATACTTGTGACACACTCAGGTAGTTAAAATCACATGATGATAAGACTTACTATTTCTTGTAGTATAAGAGCATAAAACTAATTCCTAATACATTTTTAAATATCCTATGTATGAGTTGGTAATATATGGTCATGTGACTATATCATGGTCTAGTTTTCAATTGCTTAATGACCAATGCAAATAAATTAAACTCCTTTGGATATATATATATATATATATATATATATATATATATATATAAGTTTTTAAATTTAAGAAAAAGTGTGGGCCTCACTTCAGATGTTCTGCTGAAAGTATGTATGCAGCTGAGCAGTTATCTCATTAATTCAGTGGTGAAAACATATTCTTCGAGCTAGTTGAAGTTTAATTTTTAATTTTTATTTATTTGAGTGTTTGTGTGTGCTGTTGTGTGTGTTTTATTTGAGTGTGTTTGAGTGTGCTGCTGTGTGTTTTATTTGAGTGTGTTTGTGTGTGCTGTTGTGCGTGCTGTTGTGTGTGCACTGTGGCTTATTTCTATTTTCTTTATTCAGGTGTTTATTTTTTCTCCTTCCTAACAATGTTCTCCTGGTCCTGGTTTTGGAATAACTTAGCCAATTTCCTCCTGGTTGATGGCTTAAACTTTTTTTAAATACAATTAGAGAGAATGAATGAGTCTTAGACAGGACCAGGAGTCCCAATACTCTTTGGCACTTGGACCCTGAGTCTCCACAAATGAGTATATTTGAGTTCACACAGGGTCGGTTACCATGGATACATGCAAAAATGTATCATCTATATTAGTATTACAACCAGAGCTAAAACATAGTTTTAAAGCTAAAATATAGAGCTAAAAATAGAGATAAATAGAGCTAAGACATAAAAGTAGTTCCCTTATTCATTTGAGATAGGAGACTTCAGCCCACAGACAGTCCAGACACCATGCACACTTATCTTTCCCAAGGTGAATTTGTGAAAGTCTTCTGTCCAGCCTACAAGGTCCCCAGCACAGCTGCTGGCCTAAGAAAAGGGAGTGGCATGGCATTTCAGTCCCTTAACTCTCTCCAGAGATCTTTGTGTTAGCCCTATCATGGCCAGCTTTCAGCATTCCAAATGCTGTCTAGGTAGTATCCCAACCATTCAAACCTTTTCCAGGTTTCACAGCTCCACTTCAGAGCTACCTGTGTGTGTGTGTGTGTGTGTGTGTGTGTGTGTGTGTGTGAGAGAGAGAGAGAGAGAGAGAGAGAGAGAGGGCGTATGTGTGTATCCTAGGAATTGAATACAGGGTCTGAGTGTTCTATTAGTTTTTTTATTCAAGATTAGCACTCTACCATTTGAGCCACAGCTCCATTTCTAGCCTTTTGGTGGCTCTATGGAGATAAGCATTTCATAGACTTTTCTGCTCTGGCTTTAAAATCCTCAGATCTAAGCAATCTGTGTTGCTAGGGCTATACCTTTGGTACACATACCTGGCCATATTTTTTTTTGTTGAACTCTTCTTATTAACTACATTCTCCAAATTTATAATGAATTGGATATTATTCTTTCTGCTGTCATAATTCAACTTGTTTCAGATGTGTGTTATAATAAAATGCTTTATTCATTCATATATTTTATTAAAGTGGTATGAGTAACAATTAAAACATTGTGTCACTACAAACACATGTTCGTTTTTCAGAACTAGCTTAAATCACAGTTCAGATTTTCCATTCTCAGAGTGAAAAATAGGAATAAACACACTATGAT